TGTGTGTGTGTGTGTGTGTGTGTTCCTAATAAACTGCTCACTCTCTAGTTTTCTGACGACTGATCTGCTCGGGATTGCAACATCGAAACTCCGCCCCCTCCGGATGACGACACCGCGGGAGGAAGCAACGTGAGAACCAAACAAACCCGAGTCAGAGCCGAGTCCTCATCCCGCTGTGTTCGGTCCCTGCTCCGAGAACAAGCCGAGGTCCGGAGGCTCAGAGCGGATTTAAACTGCACCGAGACCCGGGGACTGAACCTGGATCCACTTCAAACCCGAAGACACGGAGCCGGGGTCTCGGCTTTGTTCGGCTTTGTTCGGCTGCTGCTGCTGCGGGTTTTTTTTTTTTTTTTTTAACTCTCCCAAATAAGCTTATTTATCAGGAAAAGTTCGATTTGTATTTCTAGTTTTAAATCTAAAGTTTAACTTTGAGCTCTGTTCGTCAGCCGGAGGAGGAAGCTCCGCGGCTGAATGACTGACTGACGACAGGTTGCGCAACAGACACAAGAATAAACTGAGACAAAGAGTCGGAGCTGCTGCTTTTAGTTTGTCAGTTCTTATTTCTGCTCCTCACGCGGACCCACACGGACCGACAAGCCCACACACACCTCACTGCTGCCGGGGCCACGGGCCGCTGCAGCCCCCTCCACCCTCCACCAGCAAACTCAAGGTAAAACTGAAAGTAAACTGTCCTCTGATAGCTGAGTGTATTTACAGTCACACAGGAACAAGTGATATCATGCACTTTAAATATAATCCTCGAGTAACCTGGTCAATGTGCACAGTTCCCTGTTTCAGTGACACGAAATGTTCCCATGATGAAAAGAACTCATCCGTTCACATCATCTCTATATTCTTCATATTGTCTTTGCACTGAAGCATTGCATGTTACTCTTTGTGACTCCTGCTGATGTAATATTGCACACTTCCTCATTGTGGGAACAACAAAACAAGACAGATCAACAGCATATGTAATATAACAAAAGTCCAATATATATATTGATATTTATTGTAGATGCATAGTGAGGAAGGATTACTCATTGTTTTATTTCTTTATTAGCCTTTATTTGTTCAGGTTAGTCCCAGTGAGATTAAACATATTTTGCAGGGGAGCTCCCTGGCCAAGAATAACAGCTCCAGGGTTTATACACATTGTTTTGTTTGTTAAATCTAAGCACTGCAGCTGTCAGACACAATACAGTCAGAATGTAGAAAATGTATTAATACCTGAGTAAAGTTTTAAAAACACTAACTTAACTTGAGGAATAAAAGTTTATTCTTAACTGAACTAAAACAATCCAGTTAGTAAAACACTTATTTTTCGAGTGCTTTCAGTCAGACAACACAAACTTCATCATCCGACCTCACGGACATGTTGTTGATTAGATAAAGAGTGTGACCCAGTTGAGTGTTGTGTCGTGACAAGCAGCTCAAATCTGAAGCGGAACTATTCAGTCAACACATTTGGTTGAAAGCTTGGTGGAAAAGTTAGAGCAAGTTGACGCTGAGTAGAGGATGTTTTTGAAAAAGTGACAGGGACGTAGAGATTACCCATCAACACATCATGTTATGTTTACTGTCAGAGCCTGAGGGAGGACACCACTAAAAAAAACTGTGAATCAGACATTAAGAAAAAGAGACGACAAAGAAAACACACGAAAAGAGCATGAGAGCATCAGAGCATCAATACTTCAGACTGAGGTTTGTGACTTTTTAGAAAGATATCACAAACTCTACAATCTTTAATGTCAAGAACAAAACATCCAGAGTCGATTAAATTCATTTCCATTTGGTTTCTAGAGATTATTGAAGGTTTGCTTTGGCTTCTTTGACAGAAAAACTGAATATATTTGGTTTATGGACATTTGTCTGTCAGAGAAAGACTTTTTTGTCAGTTTCAGCTACGTTTCACGATGAGTCTGTAAAACTGTCAGAGAGACTGAGTAAACGAACACACATGAAGTCATGTTTAGTGTTTTAATGTCGACCTGTAGGACAAAGAGAAGGTTATCAAGATTCAGAACCTGTGAAATCATCTCGTGAGCAGTTCCTGCCTTTGTTTTCAAATCAGATCTGGCGACTGAGGAGTTAAATTGAACTTCACTGAAATCATTTTCAGTTTTGGTTTTGTGACAGGAAGTAGCCATTAGAGGCGGTGGCCATAAAAGGATGAACGAACAGTGACAGGACTCAGACAGGCGCCGGCATTTAAAAGGTGATCGGCTGTTGTTATTTAAATCCATTACAACCGGAGCTGCGCGGTGGTGTGGTGTATTGTCTCAAATCCTGCGTCGTTTCTGTGTTTGCCAGTTCTGCTCAAGTGGGTTATTTCCTGCTTCCTCCCACGGTCCAAACACGTGCAGACTGGGGTCAGGTTTATTGACGACTCTAAATAGTTGTGAACGTGATCGTGAACGTTTGTGATCCGCTGGTGACCTGTCCAGGGTGAACTCCCTCCTGCTCCTCCCGTGACCCTTGAGCAATAAGCAGTACAGACGATGGACGGATTAACTGAAGCTTCTGACCTGTAGGATTTCATACAATGCACTGCTGTCACGTGATCAGGAACTGTTCCAGAAGTAAAAATAATCTCGTTCAAAATCTATTTGAGGTTCTCTAAATCTAAAATGTGATAATTGTGATTGGCTCCATATTGTTTGGATAAGGATGATGCTTAAAAGAAAAACTTTCTACAAAACAGTCAGCTTCCTTTGCTGAACTTGAATTTCCCATAAGCCCTTGGTGTGTCGGACAGCCGAGCAGAGGATTGACAGCAGAGCTACGACTAAGCAGTAAAAACAAAACAAAAACTTTGACAAATATGCGAGTGTACCTGTAACACTGACAAATATCAATTCAGTATATACGTGGAGTTGTAGTTTTTGTCATTGGTCACTAAGTTCTCGTTAGATTGTCGCAGAATACAAAAAAAAAATGCTGAGCGAGAGATTGCACAGAGTTACAGCGGCAGCAGAGAGTTTCAGGAGAAAAGAGTTTAGCCTCTATCTCGGTCAGATCTCTGATGGTACAGTCACAGGGATGAGACATCAACCAGCACATTCACTGTGTGCGTGTTGGAGAATGACGTTACCATGGTGACGCTGTGACTCAGGTTGTGTGACTACAGAGCTCAAGCAGCGTTGGGCAACATCAGGTTTCCACACAGCGTTACCACGGAAGCTCCGGGCTCTGAAAAACTTTATATAAGACACACTCTTTCACTGTGTGTGTGTGTGTGTGTGTGTGTGTTGACTGTATTTAAAGCCTGTTTAAACTATAAACTGTTGTCCTCTGATGCAACGATCTGAAAGCTGAAGCGTCTGTCAGCTTACAGGAAGTTGCATCATGAAGCCTATAGACACGTTAACAGTAACATGAGCAGCGGAGACAGAAACACACTGAGATGTGATACTAGTATAACTCCTATTAATGTATGGGTGTGTCTCTCTTTGTGTGTGTGTGTCTGTGTGCGTGCGTGCGTGCGTCCGGTCGCCGCCTCAGACAAAACTCACGAGCTGCTCACCTGACACTCAGAGTTTGAAATGTTTGAAATATCACTCAGTGGAGCGCAGACGTCCACCGAGACCCGACCATCCTGCACATGATTCATGTTGTGGAATAAAAAAAAGGAAGTGGTCTGATGAGCGAAATGACTTCAATGTTAATATGTATATTTATATAACAACACAGAACATGTCAAGTAGAAAGACTGCAGTTAAACAACAATAGAGAACAGTTGTGTGGGACAAATAATAAATAATAATAATAAACTTATAGATCCCACTCATAGATATCAGCCCACAAAAAAAATTAAAGTGGAATAGAAAGTCGTGGATCGAGTTCTTCCCTGATACGACCTCCTTCGTGTAACTAACCAACCCACAAAACATGATAGATATACATCTGAGCTACACTGTGAATTAAAAGATTCACTCTGACATTTCATTATTATTCAATGGTTAATTAACCTGATGATGTCACTTGTCTCCTCCAATCACAGATGAGCATGAGCGTGGCCACAGCCCAATCTCAAATGTGTCTGAAGAGGTTATTGGACGAGCCCCAGGAAAACTTTCTGAAATGTAAACGACCGCGCCTGGCCCCGCCCCCTCTGGCGCCCGGTCTGTCACCCTGCGTGAGGTCCAGAAACCACGCCCCCAAGTCAAGCCAAAGCCAATCTCCCTCCAGAGTCGGCTCCTACTTCCTGTTTGAACGCTGTGAGGGGGAGGAGACTTACAGGGCCGTGCATGAGCACACGCAACAGCAGTTCACTTGCCAGGTAACACACACACACACACACACACACACACACACACACACACACACACACACACACACACAAACTGTTACCATGTTATCCTAACTGTTCGGTCGCCATGGTTACAGGTACGTCCTCTGCGTGGCTACCAAGACCAGTTGGCCGCGTACGCTCGCATTGGTCACCACGACAACATCTGCAGCCTGCAGGACGTAGTGATTGGCCAGGACAGCGTGTACATCTTCCTCCCCAATCACCATGGCGACATGCACGCGCACGTTCGAAGCAGGAAGCGCCTGGGCGAGGAGGAGACGGGACTCCTCTTCGGCCAGATGCTGAACGCTGTGATGCACTGCCATCGCCACGGAGTCGTGCTGAGAGACCTGAAGCTGCGCAGGTTCGTCTTCACTGACAGATTCAGGTGAGGAGCGCAGACAGGTACTCAACAAAGTACTACTGATACTACAGAGTACACACACAGACGTTATTACCATAACTTCTACAACAGCAAACAGCCGCTAACGCTCTCGCACTGGTGATAATAAACAAGAAGATTCAAACCGATCTGTTTCCTCCTGCAGGACTCGCCTCGCCTTGCTCGGCCTCGACGACTGCGTCCTCCTTCACGGTAACCATAACAACGACTCTCTGACTGACAGACACGGCTGTCCTGCTTACGTCAGCCCTGAGCTGCTGACCAACGGGCGGGGGTCTTACTCTGGCCGCGCCGCGGACATCTGGAGCCTGGGCGTGTCTCTGTACACCATGCTGATTGGACGGTACCCGTTTCAGGACACGCAGCCCGCCGCGCTGTTCACCAAGATCCGCCGCGGCACCTTCAGTCTGCCCGACTGGCTGTCGCCTCGGGCCAAGTGTCTGATCGGCTGCATGTTGAGGAAGACGCCTGAGGAGAGACTGGAGGCGTCGGAGCTGCTGATGCACCCGTGGCTGACCAATCCCCGCACGCCACATCACAACGTTCACAAGACGCAGCACGGCTCACACACAGCGCCACAGAATAAACAAGAGGACGATGACCAGGTGGTCCCAACATGGACACAAAAACACTAACACACACACACACGTTTCTACTTCTATGCTTGTGAGGACCTTCACTGAAAACACTCCCGAACACTAACTTTAAGATCACAACTAAACAAATAAGCTCCATTTTAAGTTAAACCCTGATGACGCTGTCACACAACAACTGTTTGGTTCAGTTAACACGAACTTTGCCTGTTTATCTGAGTATTGATGGCAACTTGAAGGGAAAAAAACCTGAAGCATTACGAGAATAAGTTTGTGCCGTTTCGAGAATAAAGTGGTAGATTATCTGCGTAATAATCAGAGAGGTTTCATAGTTTCTCGAGAAGCAGTGAGACTGATTGAAGATATTGGAACCAGAGCGAGTGAAGCTCAGGTTCTCTCTGCTGCTCATTTCCTAAAATTCTTACTTTTTTATTTTTATTTTATAACTTTCTCCTCATTTACATTATTTACAAATTCTTTCTCCTCACATATCCCCCGATACTCCACAATACTTGTAGAAAGCTGAACCCTGAATCTGAGTGAAACCAGATCAACTGGACCCAGTCTGCCTGAAATGTGACAAACAAACAACGAACAAAGTTGTGATTTATTTGTTTGTGTGAAAACAAGCGAAATCTAATTAATTTGTAATCTAATAATAAAAGCGTCTTTTTTTAGATCATAGAAAATATGAATACACACTTAAGACACATGTGCTGCTTTCAATTACTGCACTTTGATTGGCTGTGGGTCCTTGTAGCGCTGATGATGAAGCAGCCGTCCAATCAAGTTTATCATTTGAAACATCTCAAAGGCAGCAAGTTATTTTCCCTCTGTTGTTTTGGACCAAATTAACCAAACGACGTGTGAGAGCGACTGAAAACTAAACCTGAATCTATCTGTCACACACACACGATGGTCCTCACAAAGATATAAATAGAAGAACACATGCAGACAGTCTGATCCTGGATTACTTGACCCTCACGTGCCTTCCTCTCTCTGCAGCTGCGTCTCACTTCCAGCTCTGAACTGGCTCCTCCCCAAAACGCCACAGGATTCTTACCCCAGTCAGAAGTAACGGTGCGTTCAGGTGCTTCTCGCCAACTCCCAAATTGAAAAATCTGAGTGTTAAACAAGGGAAACAGATCCAGCCAGAATAACCTACATAACCGGATTTCTCTGAGTGACCGGTTGCTTCAGTGCATGTAAACGTACAGTGAGAGTTGTTACAGCCTCTATTCACGTCTGTTGTGATGACAAGAACAAACTCTGTCTTGTCGGATCATTGACGTCCTGCAGGGACTATTTCTTTGGTCTGTTTTTAAACACCTGGTCTGATGGATTCAGTTTCTGATGCCTGGAGTTGGTGACGACTGTCTGGACAAACCACTTTCAGTATTTAACCCCCGATACTTCGTCCCCGGGATTTAAGAGAAGGAGATTCAGTATTAAAATAAATCTAACTGACATTGTTCAAAAAACTGAAATGATTAATAACAGAATTCAGTCGCCAGCAAAGATTCAGAGTTAACGTTCAACTTTAGTGTCTCATCCTCTTCTGAGGATCCTGATTTAATTCCAGATGA